ATAGATTCGTTCGCTCACTGGGCAAACACGCCTGGATACAATGGAGTAGCCCAACTATGAATGACTCTCATGAGTTCAACAGTGGAATTTTGTGTTTGTGGTCTCTAAAGGGTCTCAGTGTCCATCTGAGAGAGCACATTGCTCAAGAAGTGACTGTTTTCTGTGTCTGAATAGAGCAGCTGTTCTATTCTATTCACTTTGAGAATATGAACTATGGAAATTCAGTGATAGCAAATCACTGAATCACTTTGGAAAGTCATACCAAATCAATTAATAATGTTTGGCGTGGCAAATAATGACTATTGGGTTGTGCTTTGGGTTTTAAAAAGACTTTATTCAGCAATTTATTTCATTTTCACGCCCTGAGGCGTCTCATTCTTGTGTGGTTACTGTACTGATATCAGCAGCTTTTCATGATCATGTGATTGTTGCTCCTTTCATCATGAAGAGCTGATCCCAGATCAGCATATAAACCATAAACATAATCATCATGAGTGAAACCGCATCTGTTTGATCTCGGATCAGCAGAACTTTGGCTTTGCTGACTTTTATAATCATGTTCATAAAATAAAAGCATTATGGACCCACCTAAATGAGTCACGTCTAGGCAGGAGTGAGTTCTCTGAAAATCCCCTTACTGATGAATCGATCAGATCACAGCTGAAGGAGAGACTTTCATCTAGTGAATGTGATTCCTCTCTCTTTTACTGCTCATGTCACCAGCACCTGTTCCACCGAAATCTGACTCCTCTCCTCTTCCTCTGGTGGGAATTTAACTCCTCAATTCTGTTCAACCTGGAAATGAACTCTGAACAATGTCCAAACATAAAGAGCATTCACACAAGACAAATATTAGTTCATAGATAACAAGATCAAACAAACATCCGGTTGTAAATCATAAAAAGAACATTAAAGTATAGGAGCTTCTGAACTTCTGCAGGTTTCAGGAAGTTTAGGACTGATTCTAAAAAAAATAATAATAAATCCATTAGCATTTAATTAAGAATTTTACACTTATTCAAATAATATTGTTCTCAAAACTATAAATAATGCCAAATGTTAATATACATTAATAATTACAACATATTTTCACATTCATATTTTTCTGTTTGTTAATTCAGTTGATTTATAAGTAGAATAATTTAAAAGAATAAATGAACAATTTGTTCTCAAATCAGACATTACCAAAAAAAAGTAATATAGTATATTAATTGTCAATTGTTGAGCTTAGCAAACGACTATGAGTTAGTGTTATTATTACAGTTTTTGTTAATATTTTGCATTAAATTTTATTTTTATATTTTGTTAATATTTTGCATTCAATTTTATTTTTTATATTTTCTGTTTTTACTTTTTAGTTCATTAATTGAACTAGAATTTTTGTTAAAATTTTAGTAATTTTGTTGTTTTTGTAATTTTTATTAGTTTTTAAATGTCTATATAGTTTTTATTAATTTTTATTTATTAGTTTCAATTTATTTAGTTTTGGTTATTTTAGTACTTCAAGTTATTTTAGTACTAAAAATGAAAATGAGAAATGTTGCCTTACAAATCAATTAATAATGTTTGGCGTGGCAAATAATGACTATTGGGTTGTGCTTTGGGTTTTAAAAAGACTTTATTCAGCAATTTATTTCATTTTCACGCCCTGAGGCGTCTCATTCTTGTGTGGTTACTGTACTGATATCAGCAGCTTTTCATGATCATGTGATTGTTGCTCCTTTCATCATGAAGAGCTGATCCCAGATCAGCATATAAACCATAAACATAATCATCATGAGTGAAACCGCATCTGTTTGATCTCGGATCAGCAGAACTTTGGCTTTGCTGACTTTTATAATCATGTTCATAAAATAAAAGCATTATGGACCCACCTAAATGAGTCACGTCTAGGCAGGAGTGAGTTCTCTGAAAATCCCCTTACTGATGAATCGATCAGATCACAGCTGAAGGAGAGACTTTCATCTAGTGAATGTGATTCCTCTCTCTTTTACTGCTCATGTCACCAGCACCTGTTCCACCGAAATCTGACTCCTCTCCTCTTCCTCTGGTGGGAATTTAACTCCTCAATTCTGTTCAACCTGGAAATGAACTCTGAACAATGTCCAAACATAAAGAGCATTCACACAAGACAAATATTAGTTCATAGATAACAAGATCAAACAAACATCCGGTTGTAAATCATAAAAAGAACATTAAAGTATAGGAGCTTCTGAACTTCTGCAGGTTTCAGGAAGTTTAGGACTGATTCTAAAAAAAATAATAATAAATCCATTAGCATTTAATTAAGAATTTTACACTTATTCAAATAATATTGTTCTCAAAACTATAAATAATGCCAAATGTTAATATACATTAATAATTACAACATATTTTCACATTCATATTTTTCTGTTTGTTAATTCAGTTGATTTATAAGTAGAATAATTTAAAAGAATAAATGAACAATTTGTTCTCAAATCAGACATTACCAAAAAAAAGTAATATAGTATATTAATTGTCAATTGTTGAGCTTAGCAAACGACTATGAGTTAGTGTTATTATTACATTTTTTGTTAATATTTTGCATTAAATTTTATTTTTATATTTTGTTAATATTTTGCATTCAATTTTATTTTTTATATTTTCTGTTTTTACTTTTTAGTTCATTAATTGAACTAGAATTTTTGTTAAAATTTTAGTAATTTTGTTGTTTTTGTAATTTTTATTAGTTTTTAAATGTCTATATAGTTTTTATTAATTTTTATTTAGTAGTTTCAATTTATTTAGTTTTGGTTATTTTAGTACTTAGTTATTTTAGTACTAAAAATGAAAATGAGAAATGTTGCCTTAGCATCTAGTTGAAATAAAATTAGCTTAGGTTTTTATATATTTTATTTGATTTCAGTTAACGTTTATTTCAAGTGACTTTTCTTATTTATTTTATTTGTTATTATTATTTTTTTTGTATGTTTTAGTTTTAGATAACTATAATAACCCTGCTATTATAGATCAGTCATCTATAAAAGACCTGCATAAAGAAAAAATCAGAAAAAAAAGTGTTTTATGGAACAAATACAGCATGCAGATGTGAAATTACATGAGGGTGAGTAAATCTAAATATTACAATTTTTGTGCAATCCATATTTTTAAATATCTGTTATCTCTCTTTCACTTTAAAAATAAAAAATAAAAAAAAGACTAACAAATGTTTACAAATAGAGAGGCATAAAATAAGAGTGGTATATCTGTATATCGCTGCTCTTTAGGTCAGTGTTCGTCAGATGAATGATCACAGCTGCCCATAATTCCTCAACACACTGAGAGGTTCAGACGGGATTAAACGCCGTGACTCCTGATCTCTGGAGATGAAGATTACAAACCATAATCTCACTCCACAGATGGACTTCACAGCCTTCAGTGGCTCTCAGCGAAGCGAAACATGTCGCTGCTCTCCTGAGACCTCGATACGAGAAAATAACACTAGAGTGTTATAAAAAAACACTGCAACTGCAACAGACTGAATCAAGAGTCTCTTTTTTCCCATATTTTTGTGCAACTAAAAACATTTGGCCATAATATAAATGCTCATGATACATGCCATGGATAGCAAACTTTCATACTGCTTACTAGTATGTATACTGTGCACAGTGTGCTATTTTTCTGTACAACCAGCTTCATTTGACAAAATATGCAATGTGCAACCAGAGCAAACTAAATATTATGCAATATACCACAATGCAATGTGCTCAGTGCCATTTTTATCATTTGTTCTTGACTCATTATTTGATCACACTGCCAAAAGTGCAGACATTTTTACACATAAATAATTTAATAGTAAAATATTAATACATTTCTATTATTTGTATAACTAATACTTTTAAATTATTTTTATTCTTCTGATAAATAGTTGGAGTCATGTGGAAGTTTGTCTTTTGCATATTGTTTCACACATATATATATATATATATATATATATATATATATATATATATATAGTAGGCATAATTTAGTATATACTATGCAATAATTAGTGTATTAGTATTTTCATTGAGTCGATCTGTATGATGAGAAAGAGAAGACTCTGCTGCCCTCTAGTGGTGGATCAAAGAAAGACTACAAAGTTTAATCCAACAGAATTTTATGAATATATACAATAAATACACACATTTAATCTAAAATGATCATCTAAACGCCAGTCTTCAAAATGGCATTTATAAACAAACGCAGAAGTGAAATGTTTCAATATAAAACCATTATGGCCATTAAAATGGATTTTGCATAGATATAGATATAATACACGATAAACTATTTACAAAAGTTCTTGATATGAAACATATGAATGCAGACAGTAACTCAGTCATATTCATTCATAGTCATATGGCATTGAAAACTTACTCTTCAATGAGCCTTATTGTTCCTTTACTGAAAAGTTATGCATCCTGGACTACTATTATTATAAGAAGAAAAGTAGTGTTGGAGAGTAAAGTGCATTTTCATATTTCTAAAATGCCACCAGGTGTTCATTATTCATTTATGACCATGTAATCAAACAATTATCCCTTTAAAAATTCACAAATTCATACAAATGTGTTTTCACTTCATAAAGCGAGTGCGCAGTGAAGCTAACCGGCCTGTAACGCAGTTAAAACATCTTAAAAAAAGACTTTGTGCACTAATAAACATTTACACTGGCACGTTTCATCTCCATTAGTTTGCTGTTTTTGGACTTGAACTCATTAAATAACAGTCCAGAGGAAATCCTTCATCATAAATCATATTCAGACATGAACGAAATACATAAATAGTGATACAACACTGAAGAATTCATAATAAATGTAGTGTAAAAGTGTCCTTCCCTTCCATATTTACATTTCATATTCATGTAACCAGCAAATTAACGCTGAAATGATATATGAATGTGAGAATTTGCATGATTTGGCTGTAAATGGCCACTGTTTTTCATCTGGCAGTGTGTTTGCACTGCGTTTCTTCATTTACACTGTGCATCAAAGTGTCCTTCCCTTCCATATTTACATTTCATATTCATGTAACCAGCAAATTAACGCTGAAATGATATATGAATGTGAGAATTTGCATGATTTGGCTGTAAATGGCCACTGTTTTTCATCTGGCAGTGTGTGTTTGCACTGCGTTTCTTCATTTACACTGTGCATCTATGCATTTATGGTCATGCATGGTCTCTTATTTTTGAAGATATGCTTCACTTGTCTATAAATGTTCATATCTGATTGAGAAATTGTGTTTTGTAAGGCTGAACCGGATCACACGTTCCGGCTGGTTTCTACTCAACTTTCCAGATGGCGATTTTGCCGTCGGCCCGCGCGGCTCCGCTGAGCACGTAGCGATCTTCAGCCGAGCACAGAGTCTGAACGCTGTCGTCGTGTGCCATCAGCTCCTTCTCCACCGTGTATCGATCCGTGTCCACCACGTAGATCTTCCCGCGGGTCTTCCCCTGGCAGCCCACCCAGATCTGAGACCAGGAGAGATTTGAACTGCATTCTGTATCTTCTAATTACATTTTGACAGATGAGCGTGAGCGGTGTCTCACCTGGTTCTTGACTTTGATCATGCAGACGACGCCGGCGCAGTCTTTGAGCTGGATCCTGATGAAGGGTTTGTTCAGGTCTCTGCAGTGCCACACACACAGCTCACCTGCGTCTGCAAAACCCGCCCACAGCTGCTCCGACTGCAATCACATTCCCATCACAAGTCAATGAAGAAGACTCACTTTTTCATATTAAAATGCATAATACTTTAGATGAGTATTATCTTATAAGGGAGATATGGCTGCTGTCTGGTGGAAAACAGATGAAAAATCACAAACATTTACTTGGAGCATTAAGGAACTAGGGCTGCTCAATTATTGCAAAAAAAAAATCACAATTATTATAATTAATACTGAGATCAGAATTACTGTATTTAACATGATTACTTGTTGATTCATTTATTTAATCAAAATAAAAAAAAAAGTCCTTTTGACAATGGATTTCCTTTCACTTCCAAACTAAAAAACATATATATATATATACACAATGCTGTCCTTTTAAACTTTCTATTCATCAAAAAAAAATTCCTGAAAAATAAAATGTATCACAGTTTCCACAAAAATATTCAGCAGCACAACTGTTTTAAACATTGATAATAATCAGAAATGTTTCTTGAGCAGCAAATCAGCATATTAGAATGATTTCTGAAAGATCATGTGACACTGAAGACTGGAGTAATGATGCTGAAAATTCAGCTTTGATCACAGAAATAAATTATATTTTACTATATATTCACACAGAAAATACACTTATTTTAAATTGTAATAATATTTCACAATATTAATGTGTTTGACTGTATTTTTGATCAAATAAATGAAGCCTCAGTGGACAGAAGAGATTTTTTCAAAATCAGTAAAAATCGTACCAACCCTTTACTAAAATTAAGCAAATAAATAAATCAATCAAATAAAATTAGCTATGTTGTAGTGCACTTCCACAACCAACCTAAAACCGTGCAGTAATAAAAAATTAAATTTGAATAATTTTTCAGTCCTATTAGGAACCATCTAGCAACCACCCAGAAGACCCTAGCAACTTTTTCTGAATCACTTTTCTTGGAAACGATCAAAGCCGGTCTCATCAGAGAGGCCAGAGACCCATTAAAACAGCCTCACACGTGTGATCCATTAACTGCTCACTCGCTGCGCTAATGAGTGCTGAAGCCCAGCTGGATGGACACGCAGAGAACCGGACGAGCTCACAGCCTCCTTCAGAATCTGTGATTTTTACCTCGTTAAAGAGCAGGAAACTGCTGAAGCCCCTCGGTGAACTCAGCAGGTGATCTGGAAGAGACACCTTACGATGAACCGTGCCGTTCCTGCGCACTTCCAGCAGACAATCACGACCACCTTTAATACAAAAAAATCAGTTACGCACTCAAATTATTTAATTTAACCAAACGGAAATTAAAGTTTTCATTTTTTTCTGAAACCGAAAATACAGGCTGCGTCCGAAAGCCTAGGCAGCTGACTTGCTGCCTCGCTGCCTTGTGAGTCAATGACTTTGCAGGCAGCGTTTTTGCACGAAGGCACCTCATGAAACTGATTTCGGACAGGCTTCTGAGGCAGCGTAACGGTTTAATGATCTACAACAAAATAGAACAAGTTTTGATGACAACTAAATGAATATTTAATTATTATAATACTGATTTCTCACTAGAAATAACATCAAAAGTGCAAAAAGTTAGTCAGAAACATACATTTAAACAGAAACTGACCACCAAACGCAACTTTCAGACACCATCTTTATTTTTTTATATCAACCGTCACGGAATGGAACGCACAGGATTGTGGGATATCAAAGGCAGCGAAGGATACATCTATGCTGCCTTCAAAATTCGATCAGAAGAAGGTACCTCCAGAGACAGGAAGTGAAGCAGAATTTCTGCTTCCTCCGAAGGCAGCATTTTAGAGCTTTCGGACGCAGCCACAGTTTATAAAAAAGGAGTTGCATATAAACATTTGAGTTGCACAGGTAGGTCTTAAATAAACTTTTTAATGATATTATGATGTTTCTACTCCAATTCATTGTTGAAATATAAACATTTAAACAGTAGCTGTAACAAACATACATTAAATAGTCAAGATAACAGTTTAAGTAAAATGAAAACTGATTTTCGGTTGCCAAAATTTGAGTTAGAATATAATAGAAACGTGCATTGGTAGCAGTATGTGAGGCAGACTTACAGCACCACAGCATGCCGCTATGGATCTGGATGCACTGCAGTCTGTCACAGGAGACTCTGAACTGCCGTCTGACCTGCAGCGTCGAAACGTCCCACACGATCACACTGCCATCTTCACTGCACGAGTACGCCACCGTCTGACTGCAGGCAAAAAAATCAATTAACATCAATGTCTAGGTTTGGAGAAATTTAGCGTTGTGTCACTTGCTCACCGCAGTGAATGGGTGCCGTCAGAATGAGAGTCCAAACAGCTATCTTTAATTAGTTTTAACTTTAAACTGTTGCCAAAATACAAGTCCTCTATCCATATGCATCTGCTCCAAAACACATTTTTCCTCTTCTTCGGATCAAGCTCTGTTTACAAGCGAAAACAGTCCAAAACAGCTCTAAATATATATGTTGGTGGATTTTGATGAAAGAGACAACAGGAGATGGACTTTTTCACTGGGGGAAGCGTTATTATTATGGATTCATATTTTGGACAGATGCGACGTTTTAAAGTTAAAAACATCTTAAAGGGGTCATAGGATGCTACATGCACTTTTACAAGTAGTTTGAACTGAAATGTGTGTTGGCAGTGTGTGTACACAACCACCCTATAATGATAAAAATCCACCCGGTGTTTTTTTTTTTTATCTGGTTAAATGTTTTCCCCTTTCTCAAATCGAGCCGATCTCAGATGCCTGTCTGTGTGACGTCACAAAAACAGGCCCCTCCAATGCGTCTATGTTCGCGTGAATCATTCGTGATCCAGCCTCATCTACAGAAGAAGTGAGTATAATGTTTTGTAATGAATCTTTGCAAATCGCCTTTCCTAATAATGTGCTAATTAGCAAGTTTCACGATGAATGCGGCTAAAGTAAACAGTCTCTCTGAGAGCAGCTCGGAAGAGAGGGGCGGGGTCAGCAGAGCTCATTAACATTTAAAGGGAAATGCTACAAAAATGGCTTAATCTGAAAAGAGCTGTTTTTGACGGTAAAAAAAAAAGGTGTTTTTACACTACCATTGAGAAATTTTAACCAAACTATGTTACAGACTTTTCATTAAGACCCTAAAGAATCATATCAACTTGTGGAAAATGGGCATCATATGACCCCTTTAAAGATGGATTTGTTTCTTAGAAACGCACAGCTTTTCACTTCTCAGGACATTAACTGATGGATTGGAGTGGTGTGGATTACTTGTGGATTATTGTGATGTTTTTATCAGCTGTTTGGACTCTCATTCTGACGGCACCCATTCACTGAAGATGGAATACTACATTTCTACAAATCTGCTCCCATTAAGAAACAAGTTCATCTACATCATAGATGGCCTGAAGGAGTAATTTTTCAGCAAATTTTCATTTTTAGGTGAACTATTCCTTTAATGACTGTTCTGTTTTGTCTCTGTTACCTGAATTTGTCAGTTCTCTCCTCCAGGGCGAGTCCGGTGACCTCGCCACGGTGCTCCGTCAGTTGTTTATTGCAAGAAACGCTCCGCGGGTTTATGATGTAAATGAACGAATCCATTGAGCCGATCCACAGCTGCTGCTCGTTCACTGCCAGCATGCAATTCTGAGAGGAGTGAAATGAAGCGTGTGTTCATACAGTGAACAGCAGGGGGCAGCACTACTATGAAAACTATAAAGTGCACTAATATTTTCCAACATCCCAGTAATGTGGTGAAGTCAAACAAAATGCAAAAATTCATAGTCATATATCTGGGATGCAGGGTAATGGAGCAACATTTTGTTTACGTGCACGAGCATTTTTTTTTGTATCATTATTGCTGCAATGTTGTGGGGAAAATGTGCTGAATTGTCACAAAGTAAAAATTCTTAATGCTTTTAGATAAAGCAAGTTGATTACAGCCTACAGTTATACTAGTAAACTATATTAGTTGTTTTCTTCTGATTATTGTACTTTTTTTTTATTAAGCATTGTCCTTTCTGTTTCTGTCTAATTTCCTCCTGAAACTCCTAAACAGCCTCTCATGTCTGATAAGGAGGTGATAAGTGTGAGGCAAGGAAACAAAAAGAGTACGTCATCACTGAAGGTCATTTTTTATATCTAGAGAGGTTTCCTCACCAGACGGGACTTTCCCACTTGAACAGAGTTGTACTGCATGGACCAGCTGGCCGCGTCGAACACCAGCACCTTCCCATCGCTCAAAGCGCACCACAGCTTTGGGTTTCCTCCACCGTCCAGCTCCGAAACGCCCAGCTGACCTAAAACACACACACACACACACACACACACACAGTGCTTACCGGACGAGTCTCTGGCTTTCATAACGGTTCAGTTTCCTTCTGAACGGTGGTAAAATCCTCCCTGCTGTGTCACAGGCCCCTCACCACAAAACGTACACAATCTGAGGGAGGATGTGTTTCTGCATACACTGAGTGAGATCTACATCTGTGCTAAACGTCTGTCCTGTGACGCATAATAAGATGAATATCACAAAAACACGACAAGATCTTTTGTTCTCCTGTTCTCTCTCTTTCAGATGAACTGCTGTTTATCCCCTTCGTTTATTTATTTATTTTTTGTATTTTTTATTAGTAGTAGCAGTATTTATTTTTTATTATTTAATCTATCTGTTATTTTGTATATTATTTACTGATAAAAACAAATGAAAATTAATTTTAAAAAAACATGACTAGATCATATTTCACAGAAAAATTTAAATAAAATAAAATTTATAATATAGAATAAAAATGTAAAAAATGAAATAGATGTATCTATCTATCTATCTATACACAATTAAAAAGAAATGAGAAAAAATATATAAATTATATATCTATATACAACTATATCTATATAATAAAATTATATATAAACATGTAATATAATAAAAATCTGCTTTGTATAAATAAAATTAAGTGTATTTTTAGGATCAATACTATTTTGGTATTGTGGCATTATTCTCATAACTAAAAATTCTTATTAATGTAATAGAATGTTTTTTTTTTCATTTAAATGAGCATGAATTAAAGGCAGTACAACATTATGTATAAATGCTTCACAAAATGAACAATATATCTTTTTATGTATTACAGTAATGACAATTTTGGGGGAAAATATGCATAATTGTCATTACGTACAAAATCTTATTGCTCCTAAAAACAAGCTTTCTTTATGCAAGATATAACGTCTTATGTCTTTCTTGTGATTTTGTGGTGGAATATGACCTGTAAGTGTTTATGGCAGGTTTTATGAGATCTTTTACAGTTTGTCACTCACTCCTCAAGCGTGTAAAGAAAGCGTGTGACTTTTGCCATTACGTTCAGCTGGACCAACAGGAGCAGGAAAGTGTTTTTACGTTACGCAACAGAAATACTAAAGTATTGTGATTCTTATCAAAGTCATATGACCATTGATCTACAGCTGATAGCAGTGAAACATAAATCAAAAACACATAGATAGGACACAGATTATGTCATAGTCCTGTCTTGGACGAAATTTATTTGGTTTTAAAGTGCATTCATCAGAATGAATAAATATATATTTATTGGTCTTAATCTAAATATACTGTATATATAATAACCATACTAATAAAAGCATCTCAAATGCAACTTTGAAAAACTAAATAAATATAAACAAGAAAAAACAAGAAAATATATCTTCAGATGCGTTTAAAAATGTGAATTTCCAGAGTTTGTTTAATTTGAACCAGTGAAAGATTCCAAATGTGTATGGCATGAACAGCTGTTTTTGATCTCTTGTGGTTCTGAATGTATTTTGAAATCACACTCAAATAACCCCATAACCTGACCTGGAGTCATGCTTGTGTAGCTTTGTTACGCCTTTAACAAACATAGTAAAGAATTAAGTGCTTCAGATTAGGGTTGTGACGGTGAGGAAATGTTCCCACCACGTTTATTAGCAAAACGAGTAAGAAAGCTTGGAGGCACGGCATACACCTTGATGTCACCTACTTCAGATCCTTCAGATCCCTGAACAAAGGTTTGTGCTTCACCCAGTTTTCACATTAATCACTTTAATCATGAGTCTCTGTCGCGGATGAGTCCAGTGAGGGGAAATATGTTGTAATCAAACACGGGAAGGAAATAAGTCAGCATGGAAACTCTGCCCTGGGCAGTTTCTACAAAACTGATTTGTAAGCCTGTTCTTCTCTAAGCTTGCAGGATCGCACAGAAACACTTGAACAGATGACAGAAGTAACACACTAGCCGTCTGCACAACACCAGTGACAGGTTTGTGGAAATACCAGGTCAAACTGCTTGATCTGGGTGAGAGAAACTTGAAAGTGAAAGCCACTTTGATATTAAACAGATATCCGTTTGGCTTTGCGTAGTGTCTGTTCTTTTACTGAACTAAATGATTTTTATTACTATAAAAAAATCTAAACGACGGTGGGGGTTGATCTTTGTCTTTTTTAGACAAATGAATACTGCACACTGTGTGTCATTCTTTATTCTGCTAAACACAAAAGACGCTCAGCAGACCTACCAGGCGTGTAGAGCAGGACGTCCACGGCCTGAGGTGACGTCTGGTCCAGAGACGGGTTGATCTTGTGTTTCAGGGTCTCAGATGTTGTTTTAGGGACCATCATGGGGACTGTAATAAACCCAGAGACAAATACAGTCACTAAATTCTGTCCACTGTCTGTCCTGTGACGGTTAACAAGGTGAAAATCACAAAAAACACAACTAGATCTTTTGTTCTCCTGTTCTCTCTCTATGATGAGCTGCTGCTTATCCCCTTTGTGTTTATTTTTTAATTTACTTTTTATTAGTAGTAGCAGCAGTATTTATTTTAAATTATATTCTGTGTTATTTTGTATGTAATTTACTGTTAAAAACAAATGAACATTCATTTAAAAAAAAACATGACTAGATCATATTTCACAGCAAAATTTAAATAAAATAAAATTTTAAAAATCTATATATCTATATAATTCAGTAGAAATTAGAAAAAAATATAAATTACATATCTATATAATTATAGAACTATATCTATATAATAAAATTAATTCATTCATTTTTTATATAGACGCTGTTTTAGGGACCATCATGGGCACTGTAATAAAACCAGAGACAGATAGTCACTAAATACTAAAATGGTAATTTATCACACACTGTTGGTGACGTATACAATGCCGTTTTTGTAGATTGCTGTTTTTAGGTCCAACTAATGCCTTCAGACTGCTCATTTATAGCAAACAATCTCAATATTGAGATCACAATGATTACAAATTTACACATTACATAATTGGACATTTTCTTTGAAACCATCATGCATTTATTGAACTAAAAATAAAACTCTTTTTAACAGTGCATTTTACTTTAAATAAAATTGAAATGCATACATACACACTTTTTTTTACAGAGTAAAATAAATATTATAAAAATAAAAATAAATGATATAAAAATAAGAAAATACTTTAGATAAACTCTATATATAATTACATACATTAATCATGATTAATTACAAAAAGTGTAATTACATTTTTTAATCAATCTATATATATATACTGTATATATATATATATATATATATATGTGTGTGTGTGTGTGTGTGTGCGTGTTTGTGTGATTTATTAAAGTGTGTGTGAATTTAAATAAATAATATACAAATAATAAATACAAATAAATTAGATGAAAATAAATAAGATAACTATGTTATAGTGCACTTCCACAACCTACTGAAAACTACTAAATATTGTGGGTGTTGAATTTATAACAAGACGAAATGAGAGCATCACTGTGAAAACATAATTCGTTTAATGTCGATTGTCTTGTTTTCATAGCCACTGGAAGCCAAAATCATAATCAGATATTAAGACAATCAACATAAAACTAATGATGTTTTAATAGTCACTGGAAGCCAAAATCATAACCAGATATAATCACCCAACCAACTTCAGACAGCAACATCAAACACCAGTTTATTTCTGTAAGTGATGCACGGTCAGCCATAACACACTACAAATCCACAGTAAGAAATCTGTGAATGGGCTTCTCAAAACAGCACTTATTGAGTGATACACACCCTCAAGCTTCTTCTTGTCGAAGTAGGCCAGTTTGGTAGCAGCGAAGATGGCTTTCTGTGACTGCAGGCAGCCGACCACAGCATCCATCAGCAGAGCGTTAGTCAAGGCCTGCTCCATGAACTGAGGGTCCTGTAGACACACATCACAGCACACATTCACACGGCCGTCTACAGCACAGGAGAGACACTCCTGACCCTCAGGACACAAAAACAAAACCCAACACTACTGTGCTGAACTCTGACACCTCTCATCGAAACCTGCATTCAGTCTGCTATCTACTCTAAACTACCATACTGTGTTGTTCTGTTACACTATGGCCTGGCTTCACAGACAGGGAAGTGTAAATCCTTCTATTAGGACATTTAAGTATCGTTTAAAAACGTGCCTTAGAAAGTAACAATACTGACATGCTTTAAAATCAGTCAGTGCATGTTTCTTTCAGTTAAAACAGCTCATGTCATGCATTTTAGTCTGGGACTAGACTTAAGCCTTGTCTGTGAACCCGGGGGGCATATGTTCTGGGGTTTTCAGTGTCTGAAATCGATCCACGTCCATCTGAACCACTTTTTCACATTCACATAATTTCCAACATTTTGGTAGAGAAAGTTTTCGCACTGTCAGACAGATTTGTAACAAGAAGCATTTATAAACCTGCCAATAAGCACAGACTTAAAAATCTCTCTGCAGTTTTCCACCAAAATAAAAGCTTGAGGGTTTTAACATTTGAAAATGAAGATTATAAAACGGATAGCTCCGGTCCTTGATTCTGATTGGCTGAGCCACGTTTGAAGCTGTTGTAAATTACTCTACAAACATACACCTTTGTTTACATTTGTCTGTTGCAACCACAACTGTTTCAGAGGAACTACATTGTTTGGTGGAAGAATACTGTTTTTATTAATATCATTACACTTTATTTGCTCCGTTTTATTCTGTGAAACCTTACTATGTATATGGAATAACCGTTTTATAAAAGCAATAAGCCCCAAGAAGCTGTGGTTTACAGTGAATTTATAACAGCTAAGGGGGTTTTATATTATTTGCTTTATAATAGGCCTATAATTTATAGACCAAATTGTGCAGTCCTACACTGTAAATAAATAAAAAACAATCAATAAAACTTACTAAAAAGATTTAATATTGTATTTGTTTGCTTGCATGTCATAAACTATTTTCTTAGTTAATATTTCAGTTAATGTCAGAGTGGTTCAGCTGATCTAGGAGATGAATTTGGCTAAATCAAAGACTGAAGCAGTCATCAAACCTTATGATCGTCCGCCATCTTCCTGCCGGCCCACATCTCTTTGATCATCAGGTGCCAAAGGTCACACTCCGACTTCAGATTGGCCTCGAACGTCTCCTTCCTGAGGGAGGTTTTGATCTTCAGCGCTGGGATCCTCAGCAGAAGGAAAGGAGCGGACGATATCTTCACGTCCTGGATGAGAAGAATGAAGTCTTTCATGATTACAGTTCAGCCAGAAACACTTTAACCTGGGCTGAGCGATCCTGACCTCAATATCTCTGAACTTGGTGATCTCCACGTATCCCGGCCGGCCCTCCGTCAGCAGGAAGAGCCTGCGCTGGGTCATGGCGATCTTCCCCACGCCGTGGCTGGTCTTCACCGAGGACGAGAGCTTGTAGACACATTCGTCCGTCTCCAGGTGCTCCAGCACGACGACCGGCAGATCCACGTCCTGAGCCGCCGCTTCGGTCTCCTTCCAGAAGATGTAGAAGAAGCAGAAGGTCTCTGGATCCACCTGCTTCTGCTGACCTGTGTGGAGGAAAGATCGCAAACATGAATGTTTTACTGTAGATCTTGGGCTTTCAATCGTTTAGATGCAATGGAGGCACCCGCATCCTAAAAAATAATAAAAAGCAGCTATACATTTTCATAGATAAAAACTTAATTTATACTGTTATTTATTATAAATGTGTTAAATATTATTTGGAATATATCTAGTTTTTATTTCACTATGCACTATACTACTGTACTGTTACATGTATTATTTATTTCAATCATTTTTTTATATATATGTGTCTTACTGACAAATGGGCAAAACCTAGGATAGTGGCAAATTTTAAAAATGTAAAATAACAATTAATTAGTATTTGGGGTGAAAGTAATTCGTTTTTTAAAATGTCATAAATTGATTTTTGTTGTAAATATGCCTGACAAGATTGTTACACTAAATGACATTTTAGTGGGTGTCTTCTGTAAATCAGGGGAAAATGTATGATATTTAATTTTTGCTTAGAAAACAAAAATACAATTACATTAAACAGAAAATTTTTTTATTTAAAATTTTTTATTTTTTTTGAAAAACAACAATAACTTTAATCTGATTATATATTTATTATATATTACATATATATTGTTTTTTATTTAGTGTAATCTTATTTTTTATTTTTACATTTTTATACTGTTTTCTCTAAACATTAATTGACTGATTATCTATTTTAATTATTATATATTTTAATATATTTTTAATTTTAATTTTTAAACTTTGATTCTGTTTGAATGATTATTTAATTTAACTATGCATATATATATTTATATTCTAGTTTTATTTATTTACATTTTTATTTTATTTTACTATTTGTTTATTTTTTATTATTTATTTTTTACAATGTTTTCTATAAACTTTGAATGATTAATTGATTGATTATGTAATTTATTTATGTATTTATTTATATATTTTAATCTATTTTATTTAGTTCGTTTCATCTTAGTTTTATTTATTTTTACACTGTTTTTTTCTCTCAACTTTTGATTGATTGATTAATTGATTGGCTGGCAATTTAATTATAAATTTATATATTATAATTTCTTTTTTTATTTGTTAGTTTAGTTTAATAATCTTAATTTTTATTATTTATTTATACATTTTTACACTACTTTTTTTCTTTAAACTTAGATTTAATGGGTAGGACTGTGTAGTTTTAAAGAGTTGTCATTTACTCATCATTTGCTCTCTATTATGTTCCAAACCTGTATGACTTTCTTTTTCCATGGAATACAAATTCACGAATACAAAAACAGAGAAAAGGTACAAAAGCGGCAAAAAACACTAAATAAAATCAGTCACATGACTCAGGCACTACACTGTCCAAACTGCGGTTCTTCTGAAGTCATATGATGCTTTGTGTGAGGAACAGACTCAAATGAAATCATTGTGTGCTAATGATATATTCAAATATGATGTGGACTTTAAAATGAATAAAGTGTCTCTTCTGCATTACACAAAAGAAGGAGCGTCATGTAGTTTGAGAACATGAGCATGAGTAAATGATGACTGAATTATTGCAGATCTTGTGACATCTGAGATAAAGGTGTTTTCTTTACTTTATGGCTCCAAGCAATAAAACGTTATGGTAAATTCCAGTGAGATATACTGTATATATAAACAGCACACAATACAGCAAAAATATCTCCTTAAAACCTGAATGTTTACTGAACAGTTGTGCCTTGCATTCTTCAAATGTTTTTAAATAAAAGAATGAGTGTGAGTAAGAAATGCATTTGACACACACGACGAACACAAACCTGTTCTACTAATACCATCCAGGAACGTGTCACAGAGCTTTAAATGTTACATGACTTTAAACAGACAGGAAATGATTAACCAGCGTTGTGCTACTCGAGTAAGTGAACACAGGAGTACAGCTAGAGGTTAAACACAAACTGGGTTAAAGATGGCAGCTCTGAATGTGGCTAGCTGAAGAACATTCCTTCACGCACACAAACACACACACACACACACACACACAAACA